TACTTCTGTGTAAAATGGTATATCTGTATATTCACTTTCAATTTCTTGCAAAAAATTTATAAACTGTCGATAATTAAGGCCGCGTGCACTTTAGAACAAAACGTTTGTTGATTAAAAATGCAATGGAAAGTTGAAAATAACTGTTGCCTTGTTTTCTACATTCCCCTTTTAAATTTGTAACAACTCCTGTAATAGCCGCAACACCATCAGCTGCTTTCTTGACTGCACTGAAAATATCAACCCAGGTTGTTGTTTGTTGCATGAGGGTAATTTCCAAAAGTTCTTTAGTAGCTTTTAAACTGCTGTCATATTCGCAAACAAAAATATCCACCTGTGTCGTATCTTGAACATCAGTACTTTTACCGACCGTATTGTGTAAACAACAGGTAGGTTATGTGATGGCAACAAATTTTGCATATCGAGTTTCGGTGGGAACGTACTTCTCCATAGTAGGGAAGTGTTAATAAACTATTTTTAGCAACCTGTCGGTTTGTCGGTCTGCCGTCTGTCGGTCTGTGTGTGAACGCGTGTATCTCAAGTTCGGCTGAACCGATTTTGATGAAATTTTATATGTTAGTTTGTTTCCACCATGGCATGGATCGATCAACTTTTGGTATATATCAGGCCTCCGGAACTGCACTTTTTAGCGGGCCTGTTTTACATTTTTGAACATTTTGAAGAAAGTATTCAACCGATTTACTTGAAATTTTATATATCAGCTCAGGTCGACCATCCGCAAAAATTCGTATGTTTTGGAAGAAATCGGCAACTAGACGTTTACTACGGGCCATTTTTGTGTATATAAAGAGAAATAATCAACCGATTTCATTGAAATTAAATATATGAACTCCTCGTATTAAAACAATGAACACATAACTTTTTTGGAAAGATCAGGGCTCGAGAACTAATTTGCGGGCCGATTTTACATTTTTCACCATATCCACAGAACAAATTGATGGAATTTCTTGAAATTTGATATTTGACTTCTGGTTGTTACCCAAACTAACTGGCGAGCATTTCAGGGAATTCGGGTAGCACAAAGCGAAACTCTACTAAGAGCCAAATTTACATTTTTCTAAGTATGTTAACTATAAGCTTACTAGTGTCCTAAAAATTGGAAAGAAGTATTTAACAGACATTTTTATAATATTCTGTAACACTTTCATTTAACTAGACAATACACAATGCGGTCGGTTATGTGCTGACCACATCAGATTTTTGTGAATTGCAATAGAATAGGTCTCAAATGTTGGAGTAATCGATTTCAATTGGTTTTTCAAATTTTGAGCTATTTCGTCAATTCGACAAGCAACGGTATTTCTAGTTTTAAATTTCTTTATTTGTTCTGGACACAACTCTTCAACTAGTTTCAGAATGCAATCACAAATAAATTCACCATCGCTAAGTAGTTTTAATTTTATTGCAATTAAGTTGGATGTAAAAACTTGTTATTGGACATAGCAGCAGCACTATCGTCAATCAGTTTTTGAAAACCTCTTTGCTATTGTTGAAGTGTTTTATTTGATTCAGATAATTTATCTTTACAAAGATTCGCAGCATATTTACCATATTTTTCTTTGTGCTGTATATCTTAATGTCTAACATAATATTATATTTTTTGCAAACTGCAATAAAGTGTTTGCAAATCAGACGTAAAATTTTTTTTTTCTCTTCAATACAAAAATATTGTGTTTCCCATCTCTCTTGAAAACTACGGTGTCCGTCTTCAATTTTTCTCTTTTTATTTGAAAGCATACTGGAAGTCGAGATAGCATTAATATTTATTAAAATAATTTAACTTAATTTTTCAGGCGGAAGAGGATGATTGAAAATAGAATTACTTATCAGGTCTATCTGTTTACAAATATAATAATGTAAAGGTGGTTCAAATATATATTTGATTTATAGACACACTGAACTTTTCACTTTTCTAGAGAATGTGCCGTGAGGCACATCAATTCTAATTTCTCTAAGCGCGGAGTACACCTTGTCCTTTTATATTCGAAAAAGTCTGTCAGATAAAATATATGATTCAAGTAACTTGAAGCATTACAAAGGTACCAATTTCTTAAGTTTAAATAATAAACCGTCGGGCCAAAGGCTATCAGACGCCTAAACCACGTTCACAAATATTTTCGAATATATTTGCCTTCTTCTAACGTTCTTTTTTTAATATTTTGTGTATTTGTTTTTATATATTTTGTGTGTTTGGTCGATTGAGGCATACTTTGTTCTAAAACCAAAGTGATGGTTTGGAGTCAATTTCTTATTTTCTCTCGTCGGCATCAGCCTTATTAACAGCAATTCTTCAAAAATGTTCATATCATTGGTAGCAGCGAAATCGGTCTAGATGACTTTGCCTCATCCAAGGGCTAACTCCGTTTGTCGTATCATAATAACTTCCGCTACTTTCCAAGCACTTGGAACATACCTCAGGTTAACTGCTGCATTTATCTTTTTTTTCAAAAATATCAATGTCTTTCTCAGCATATCCCTTAATATTTCAGTATTGGCAGACAATAAAAGATCTCAGAATCGCTTATATTTATTTGGTTGAAAAATTCCTTCCAATAATCACATAAGGTATGGTAGGTATTTCTACTTCCCAACTCACCGGGGATTTTTGTTTTACAAAAATTTGTTGACTTTTTGTTATTTTCAGAGTTAAAACAATATTTTTTTAGATTTGTCTAAATACTTCTTTTTAATCATGACCATTTCCCATTAAATAAGGAAAATGCACTTCTCCATGGTAGGGAAGAGTAAATAAACTATTTTTAGCATCCTATCGGTCTGTTGGTCTGTGTGTGCAAGCGTGTATCTCAATTCGGCTGAACCGATTTTGATGAAATTTTATATATAAGTTTATTTTGACCATGGCACGGATTGATCAACTTTGGGATATATCACACCTCGCGAACTGCTCGTTTTAACGAGCGTGTTTTACATTTTTGATCATTTTAAAAAAAAATATTTTAATTAACCAATTAAAACCAATTATAAAACCGATTTACTTTAAATTTCATATATACGTTTAGCTCGACCGTCCACGAAACCTCTTTACTTTTGGAAAAAATCAGGCGTCAGCAACTGGACGTTTACTACGGGCCAAATATACATTTTTGCGTATATAAAGAGAAATAATCAGCCGATTTCATTGAACTTTAATATTTAAATTCTTCGCATTAAAACAATGAACATATAAATTTTTTAGAAGATCGGGGCTCGAAAACTTATCTGCAGGCTGATTTTACAGTTTTCACAATATTTACGGAACGATTTAATGGAATTTCTTGAAATTTAATTTCAAGAAAGCGAGCATTTCAGGGAATTCGGGTAGCACAAAGCGAAACTCTACCAAGAGCTTAATGTCCTAAAAATTGGAAAGAAGTATTTAACAGACATTTGTATAATATTCTGTAACACTTTAACTTAACTAAACAAACACATCGCGGTCGGTTATGTGCTGATCATATCAGATTTTTTTATATTGTTATTTATATTGTTTGACAAAAATAATGAAACTTGCTAAAATATAGGTATACTTTTACACATAGTTGTACTTTTTTTTTTCGAAATTGAAGTTTTTGTTTTTTTATTATTTTTCTCGAAATTTTCCCAAACTGTTTACTACTTTTAAATAGCGCTTAAAGGAACAAATGCAACAAAATTGAAAGAGATGTTAACATAATTCTCGAATTTGCTCAAGTTAAGGAAAATAGTTGTGGTTTTTGATGGCATAGCATTTAATATCAGCTTTCTGTATTTATACGAATTGGGAAAAGCCTGCAGATTCAGAAGTATAAGCTGCAAAAATTCAAATTTTACGAATTTCGAGGGTTTTAAAAAGGGAAAAAATTTTACAACGAAATAAAATATTTATTAATATCTTAAGACTGCTCAAATTTCAGACTCCTACAACTTATGGTTTGGAAAAAAAACAATATCAAAAATTTGAAAAAAGAACAAATAACGGTTAATTTAAGCAGCCATTTTGTTTTTCATATTCATTTGCTGCGGTAGAAGAAATCATCCACTACTTTTATGCGGTTTCGAAATTTGAAAAATGTTTATGGTTTCTTTAAAATAAATAGTCAAAGTACGACTTTTTTAGTTCAATGAGCTACAACTTTTAGAGGAAGGGAGAAACAGATAAAAATTTTCATATGCAATTCAGTTTTATATTTTTAAGCATGTATTAGTTTTGTTAATGGGTCCACCGTCGGACAGAACGAAATAAAGAAGCACTTTTTTATCGTCGATAAAAATAACTTATATGAAAAAAATACTTTCACATATGAATACACAATTTAGAAAAAGAAATTATCTGGTACGTGGTTTTAACTAACGCCTCTACGCAAAGTTAAGAACTTCCCAAAAAAAATTAATTAACTGTTTTTTCCTTTTTAAACATTTTTTTTTCATATTAATTCAATGATGTGAAGTAACAACATGCATAATATACAGGGTGCTTCGCATAAGGTGGCAAATAATTTCAGGAATAATTCTTTGATCAATTTCCAGCAAAAAAATTTATGGATGAGGGGGAGGGGTGCAAATATATTTGTTTTCGAGCTACAGCCTGTTGAAAAATAAGTACCAGATTTTTCTTGCTTATAAAAGAATGTTTTAAATTTAAAAACTATGCGACACAAAGCAACCATTGTGTGGTTTTGCAGGCGATTGGTTCTTGTTTATTTTCGGTCCAACAATCAATTTGATTTAAGTTATAGTTTTCGAAATGAAGTTAACCCATATAATATTTTCCGCCATCTCTCATAGTTTTGCCAGTAAAACGTGTTACCAATCATACACTAATTTCCTAGTAAAGGTCGTATGTCGCAATTTTTTTAAACGTATTGTAGATTAAACCTTGTGAAATTATATATTACATATTTTTTTCAAATTTTTTCGATTATTTTTGTTTATTAGTGTATTGAAATCGAGTTATCGTAAATTGACTGTAAAGTTATTATACTTAAGAATTTATGAATACATACTTGCATATGTCACAACTAAACGCTTTAATTTTGGTATGGGTGAGCATATGGGAACTTAATCCCGCTGAAAAATAATTTTAAATATTTAATGCTTTATAAAATAAAACAAAGTTAAACTTATACAAATAACATTGAAAAATAAAATATTTAAATTTAAATTTTATTAATTTATTGGTACAAAATTTTGCTGTATACATATAATTTAAGTTTTTCCAGTATTAGGGTACTGCAGTTAAAGATATAGGATTGAGTTCATGTTTGTAGCCCACATAAGCTAAGGTATGATACACCAAGAAGCACAATACAAAAAAAAATGTAGTCACGCAAATAAAAAAGCATATTTGCGGGAATAATTTCCAAATTAAAAATTAAAAACAAATAAGGCAATTATTTTCAATATAAAACCTACTCTTTTCAGTACAGTAACAAAAACGTGCTGTTTTTAACTTAGAACTGGAAACATGAATTCAACAATCTTAATTCACCGAATTTTCATAGAGATTGTACAGTACGATTTAGTAAAGAGTACAATATTACATGTACCATTGTTTAGGGAATCAAAAATGGGTAAAATTTTTGCTTGAAACTAGGCTGTCAAAACTCAACGGTTTCCAAGATATATGGATTTTAACGAATTTTCACGAAATTTTTACTTGCCCAAGCTTTTTGGCTCATAACTTCCCTTCTGAAAAAGATAAAGGCTTCAAATGAACAGTTTCTCAAAGGATTAGTAAAGGTCTTGAAGGAAACATATTACTTGGTGTTGTATTTTATGTACTTCCTGATTCAAACTTTGCATTCACACTTTGGAAAAGTTTTTCGGTATCTTCACAAAACGTAGAATTAGTGAGTCCCACTTTGTTTGGTTAACAAATTGTTTACTCAAGAAAAGTTAATTATGTGGGAGTAACCCTAGGCAGTCGTCTCTCCTTAAGCACTCATATATATATTGTTATGGAAAGGGAAAACAACGGTCTTGCGATCTTGCAGGAGCTTTGTTGGCAAGACTTGGGACATTAGCTACAGGGTAGCATTGTTGCTATATACGACCTATATGTCTGTGGTATGATGCCGCAAGGTGGAACAGGTAGTAAGGAGTACAGGCCACATTGGGGATTTTGGAGCTGGAAACATGGAATAATTCATATCAGGAAGCATTGGAGGTGTTGAAAGAGATTCACTTATAAAGGTCCTGTAAAAGTTAGGAAAATAAGTTAATACAACGAACATTTAAGTCTCCGAGACAAAGAATTTTAGGCCCACAAACTAATGTCCTTCGTGATCGCTTTGGAAAAGTTATTGAAGGTATACATAAGGAACCAAAAAATATTAAGTTATTCATCAGATAACCAACATGTTTGACCAACAGGTAGGTGGGGCGCGAACCGAGGCACGATTAAAATGTATGGGATATACTAGTGATACAGCTTATTGAATAAAATATAATGCATTACTTGTTGCGTGGAGCACATTTTTTTTAAAAGAATAATTTGGGCATGTTGGGGTTCTGTCGAAATTAAGCTGATGAATCTAAAGGACACGCTCCAGGAGGATGTTGATGATGTCTTCATATCTCTGGATAGATTTTGAAAGCCATGTGCCTGGTAGCCCTCAAAACCTTTCTTCCAATTGCCATCAGGCACATTGATTGCAAAATCATTGTTGGCGTATTAGCGCCGTGGCCACAAAGGAAGGTATTAGGCGGCTGGGTGAATGAATTGTGTGCTGTATGCTAACCCCACTTGGATGAAATTTGTATTGTTCAGGAAACTCTTGGATACAGCTCGATACTTAGGGCTAATTTTGAATCGAAGCTTATTATAGCATGGCCACATGGAGGAATGAGCAAAAAGAGCTATAAACGCCTTGTTCGTTTGCCAAAGTTATATATATTAACAAAGTTATAGTTATATATAATAACAAAGACACTTTATTATGCTAAGCCAACGTGAATAGTTTAACTACGTTGTAAGATGTTTGTTAATATCTGTATTAAACTACAACTTTAAAATTGAAATATCTAATAAAATAAGCTAATCAATATTTTTACAAAATTTTTATTAATATATTGTACAAATAAAGATTTGAATATTTTAAATATATCAGAAAAATATATCATATACTTAAAATATGAAATTAAGCCATGTACATAGACTAAACAAAATTCAAATAAAAACATCAGCAAAAGAAAACAAAAATTCGAAATGCAAATATTTGTCTTACTTCAACATATTTAACAAAAAACAATCAATATTTAACAAAATAAAGTTAAATTAATAAAACACCCCGTAAAATTTATCTGCTAAGGTACCAGGTACAACCATCAAGCGGTATTTTTCTTAGTTCTTAAAAATGTCTATTGCTTTTCAAAATAACTATTGTGATATAAAATTTTGTATCTATTGTGATTTTGATAAATGTTTGATAATTACAGCACTTAAATTCAATATAAATCAATATTAGTGACAATTTATTGATTTTTTACATTTTATTAGGACCCTTAAAATATTGACATATAAATGGTTTTTATGCTATATCTCTTTTACAAAAAAGATTGTTTATCGTTTGGGGACTCAAATGAAAGCTTAAGGAAGTAGCCAAAAATTTGAGGTGATCAGCACATAACCGACTGCAATGTGTATTGTCTAATTGAAAGTGTTACAGAATATTATAAAAACGTCTGTTAAATTCTTCCTTCCAATTTTTAGGACACTAGTAAGCTTATAGTTAACATACCTAGAAAAATGTAAATTTGGCTCTTAGTAGAGTTTCGCCTTGTGCTACCCGAATTCCCTGAAATGCTCGCCAGTTAATTTCGGTAACAACCAGAACTCAAACATCACATTTCAAGAAATTCCATCAATTCGTTCCGTAGATATGTTGGAAAACGTAAAATCGGCCCGCAGATCACTTTTTGAGCCCTGACCTTTCAAAAAAATTTTATATGTTCATTGTTTCAATGCAAAGAATTTAAATATTAAATTTCAATGAAATCGGTCGATTATATCCCTTATATACGCAAAAATGAATATTTGGCCCGTAGCAAACGTCCAGTAGCTGATACCAGATTTTCTCCAAAAGTTAGGAGGTTTCGCCGACGGTCGAGGGAAGCTTATATATGAAATTTCAACTAAATCGGTTGAATATTTTCTTCAAACAGGCGCGCTCAAAAGTGCAGTTCCCAACACCTGATATATTCCACAAGTTGGTCAATCCGTGTCATGGTCGAAATTAACTTACATATAAAATTTCATCAAAATCGATTCAGCCGAACTTGAAATACAGGCATGCACACACAGACCGACAGACCAACAGGTTGCTAAAAATAGTTTATTTACACTGCCCTACCATGGAGAAGTGCGTTCCCACCGAAAACTCGATATGTATACATACGGTCAGTGAAAATGTAAAAGTTTTAGAAACTTTTTGTTTCATACAAAATTGTATGTAATAAAAAATATAAAATGGAAAAAATTTGTGCTTTTCCAAAGTTTGAATACATCGTATTCCGAGAGCATATAAAATACAAAATTAAATAATTCAAGCCCTTTGCTAGCCCTTAAATAAACTGTTCATTTGAAGCCTTTTTCTTTTTAAGAAGGGAATTTGAAAAAGCTTAGGCAAGTAAATATTGCGTGAATATTCATTAAAATCCCTGTATCTTGGAAACCGGTGAGTTTTGATAACTAGTTTCAAACAAAAATTTTACCCATTTTCGACTCCCTAAACATATTGTACTGTTTACTGAATCACCCTGTGTAAAGTTTTTAGCAAAATTATGTAAATTTAAATTATTGAGTCGATTATTAACCGAGTTTTTACTCTACTTCACAATCTTTTTTTATATAAAATCAATTTTAGTTTTTGTAATAAAAATAATGGTTCATAAAGCTGACAATATTCGTAAAGTAACTGATACAGTTGCGGGGTCGAAATCAACGTCGTTCAGCCGAAATCTTCACGTTTTTCAATTTGAATAATCTCGAAGTATGAAATTTAAAATAATTTAAAGCCGTGTTCAAAGTCCAAATTACAACTTTCGGCCAATTCGCAAACAAGTTAAATTCATAATTTGAAATCATTCAGCCAAAACTTTAATCCATTGTAGAAAAAAATAGAAGTTAGAATTTTAGAATTTAAATTAATTTATGTAAATTCATTTTGAATGACTTTGAACATTCAAATAAAGGCCAAGGGGGAGCTTAATCGTCAATATGCGACATACAGATATCAGGCACCCTCTACTTCAAATAGGCCTTCCCATGGTATGCCGGGCTTTACCACGGGTGACTTTACTTTCCTGTGCTACTAGTGGGAACAAAATTAATGAATCAAGAATCAGAAAAACTAACAACAACATGAAAAACAACGACAAGTTGGACGCTCACGCGTCTGCGGAGTCAGAGCTTCTTTCGATTGACGCGGTGGAGGAACTCCGTCAGCATAGGAAACCGTGGCGTATCCGATGGAAACAGGTAACCAGGATCTTTGGAGACCAGTTATCCAATAAGCTTAAGAGAATCAGAGGGAAACAACAATATTTCTTTCGTGCATTCATGCGGAGTATTGCAGCCTACATCAGAAACGACATGTGTCCAGAACCTGAGGGTTTACGGAGCAGATGCTGTGGCTGCAAAAATAAAAGGTCTGAAAGCAACACTGCAGATGTAGGACCCTCAAAGAAAAGGTCAATGGGGGACAATGTTGACAAAAAGGCCCCTGGGAACATTTCTTGCATTAGCTAAAGGGTAGCATTGTTGCTACCGATCTTGCATTAGCTAAAGGGTAGCATTGTTGCTATATACCATCTATATGTCTGTGGTATGATGCCACAAGATGGAACAGGTAGGAGTACAGGCCACATTTGTTAGGTTCAGGAGCTGGCTGGTCCGGATGTGGGCGGGGCAATATAGACGACTCTAACGGCTGTTTTGGATGCAATCGTTAGACTCCCGCCTTTGCAACTTCCACATTGTTCGGGAAGCAACCATTTACCGACTATCTACTGGTGAAGATGTCGCTGGGAAAAGATGGGCCGGCAGCACTCAGAGGGCTTTCATCGAG